TCAGGTTTCCCAACCCGACCCACTCAGTCTATTTCTATCACAGGTATCGATGTGAAGATACATTACACTGAGAGATTAAAGGAAATGTAATTCATTAGTGTAAATGAATGTAAGGTTTGTTTATGCTTATGTTTATGTATTGACGATGACATCCCAATGTTTTAACATAAATAAAATACATTTCTTCGGAAATGCTTTGATAATATATTTATCATGTTTTCTGGGAACAAATTCCACAATACTACTTTTTAAAAAGGATACTCTGATTTTAATATAAGCATAAATAAAATTTTTAAAATGACCGTGAATTTGGGGATGTCACAGATGATACCAAACATCCCAAAGTATGATGGCACCACCGATTCGGATGAACACATCGACACTTATGAGTGGACGATGACGTCATTGAGAATGGATAAATGGTTCACTTGCACGTATTTCCCTGTCATGCTATCGGGAAATACATGAAACTGGTTCAAGGCACTACGACCTGGTAGTATCTCGAGCTTTGAGCAGCTACGGTACCTCTTCGGCTCTTCCTCAATAATTTCATGCAATTAAGGAAGGCTAAGGGATATGCGAATTCAATCGTGGCATGTAAGAAAAAGGAGGGAGAGTCAATAAGAGCGTATTACGATAGATTCACTTTGGCAATGTGTTAGGCGTGTCAAACCCAAAAAATAATAGGGGTACGATATACTCCAAAATAATCCCACTATATTGCACTAGAAAGGTAGTACAAGGCAAGTAGGGTCGATCCACAGAGACACGGGACAATAAGTCTATACATGTTTTGCGTAAGGTATTTGTTCACAAAAGATTAAGAGGGGGGTTTTGAATGCAATGATTAAACAAACAAATTTAAAACACGAGTAAACAACTAAACGAATGAATTACGTTCAAATTTTTGTAAGGACTCCAACTTCATGTATGACAATCCAGCAATGTGAATCAAAGATGACAAGACATTTGTTTCATTCTATCTAAGTTGGTACTTGAAAGTGTTAACAAGCTCTAACACTTTCCATTCACCACATTAATCAATCAAAACAAGCTCTTTGATTAATCCTAACCTTGCTAACCTAATCTAAACAAGCTCTTAGAATTAGATTAAAAGATTGCATTAAGCTTATTGTGAATGTTCCCAACAACACCCAATACTCCTCACAAGCTCGGGAGCGTAAGAATATGTGAAAAGATTTACACTAAATTCATTCATAAGAAATCAATTTAATGCTTGTTACTTAGTTCTATTCACAAAACAATTACGGATTTTGCAAAATGAATAACTTGAATGACTTAACCCTAATTCAAATGGCTAATAAGAATCATTATTAGAATCAAACATTCGATTGAAATAAAATCAGTTTCACTAGATAGAAATTAAACACAAACATCAGGTCATATGATTTGATTCACAACCAAAAAGTCAAAACATGAAATTGGAGAAGTTAGGGTTCTAGCCACACATGGCTAGAACAAGATTAACAAGTTTAAAAGATGAAATTAAGTGCTAAAGTGCTTACAAAGAAGGAATTAAAATGTTTCCCAATGATTAACGCACAAACCCTTGCTAAAACCCTTGAATTCTCCTCTCCAAAAGTGCTCTGGTATGTTCTGTGTGTGTAAAAATAACCCAATTCCCGTGATATGAAAAAGAGGAAAAACTGCCAAAAGATAGTTTTTGGGTCGAACACGGCCCGTGTCAAAATAGGCTAAACTGACACGGGTCGTGTTCAGCAGTCAACACGGCCTATGTTGATTTGCACTAAACTGACACGGCCCGTGTTCAGCATGGTCAACAGCTTCTTCTTGGTCAAACACGCCCCGTGCTCACTTTTCAGTGTAAATCCAACACGACCCGTGTACCCCTCTGACTCCGAATCCAAACTTGATTTTTCCAACTTTTCCGTTCTTCGTCCGATCATCCCGAAATCTTCACCAATGCTTCCCGGCACCTCCCAAAGCGCATTCCAAGCTCCGGTTTACCTGAAAAAGACATGAAAGTGTGCAAATAAGGTTGTTCTAGAGACTAACATGAATATGATGAAATGCAAGAAAAAGGAAGAACAATTATGCTAAATAGATGCATGAAATAGGACTAAAAGGTGTGCAAAAAGGTGCACAAATTGCACCTAACACAATGCTTAACGTCCTAGGCCATGAGGAATTCCTTTTTACAAGTGCCTTCACCCAAGGTTTAATCCCCGACCCTCTATCGATGGAGATGAAAGGGACGGTACCCCAATCAAGGGACGAGCTCAAGTACAGAGTAGAGAAATATCCCAGACAAATTGAAGGTGAAGAGAGAAAAAAGGCCAACCTAAAGGCTGTCGCCAATGTATACATAAAACAAGAAGAAGCAGTCTCTCGACCTAATATCGACCATCGAGAGCGCTAGGACGGGGGCCACGACAAGCACAATCGGGATTCGTGACATTCGTCCCAAAGATATCATCCATTCAACAAGGATGAGCACCAGAACCATCGAAGTGACGTACATGCCATTGAGAAAACGCCTCCAAAAGCGGAAAGCGAAAAAGGCAAGTACCGTGAGTTCCACAAAAGTAGAACTCACGAAACTGGCGAGTGCACGATTCTGAAGAAAGAAATTGAAGAAAAACAACTAAAGGACAACTTCTCTGATATTGCAAAGGACTTAAGATCCAAATTCGATGCCGACCAAAAGAATGCCCGAGCTAAAAAAGACATGGGTAAGCGCCAAGAGAAAGAGAGCGACATCTTCACCATTGCTAGGCCTGTAACATCCCGGGTTTTCAGGTATTTTCGAATCCTTCCTTTGGTAAATATATATGTCATTCTGGTCCTTGAAATTGGTTGGAATTAGCCCTAAGAAGACCTAGTGGCAAATTGGTAATTCTTGGGAGCTTGAGTTGTACGTTGGGCGTACATGTAGGTAGGCTAAGCGTACTAGGGCATGCCCTAGTACGCTGGGGGTACACATATGTACGCAGGGCGTACGCGTGTCTGGGTGAAACCCTAATTTTCAGGGTTTGTGGATTATTTAAGCACCATTATGGGTCATTTTGACTCACTCATTCAGCCTCCAAGTCCCTTAGCCATTTGGGGAGAACCCTAACCCCCATAGTGAGCATTTTGAGCTTATAGTGTGATTTTTGTGTGCCAAAAGGAGAAGTTAGTGCATCAAAGGAGTCAAGGAAGGAAGCAAGCTTGTAGATCTGGGATTATCATCTTCTTGGGAAGCTTCAGAAGGTATAAAGCTTCTACCTTATGCTTGGATTGTTTAGATCTTGTTTTGGTTGCTTTTTGGTATTCTTCTTCTCCCAAGAGTCCCAATGTTGTGCATGCTTTGTTTTGGTCATGTTGGGCTGTCCTTTCAGACCCGAGGATGGGTCCTAAGGCATAAAAATGAGGTCCCTTGAGCTAGTTTGGTCCCTTGTTCTTTGTAGGAGGTCTTAATGGATTAAGACCATGCATTAAGCCCTTTTTGGATGACCAAAGTCTTAAAGTTTGAGACTTTATGGTTTCTAGAGTACTTTTGAGTAATGGATCTGAAGCTTGAGCTTAGGTGCTTAATCCATTAAGCATTTATAAGGATTTTAAGATCTACGAGGGTACGCCCCGCGTAAGTGGATGTACACCCCACGTATTGAGTCAACCACCCCTATGGTGGTCAATGCGAGGCGGTGTACGCCCAACGTACCGAAAGGTTACGTCCCGCGTACGCCTTCTGTGTGGACTTCGGACTTGGGCTTCGGGTGTTGGGCCATCTTTTGGGCTTGAATGCTTAGGCCCTCTTTGGACTTCAGGGTATGAGTGTTTTGGGCTGATTTGAGAGTTGGAACTTAGGATAAGGACCGATAAGGAGTTGGGCTCAATTTGGAAAATTAGGCTAAGTATGGGCCTTGAAGTTATTTGGGCCTTTTGGATCAATATTTGGACTTGGGCCTTGGCCCAATTAGGGAAAGGGTAAAATGGATAATTACCCTATGTTTGGGCCCTTAGTCATGAAGGGTATTCCAATTGTTAATTGGATGTTTGTTTCTGTGATAGTTCGGGATTTTCCGTGGGTCAGCATTCAGAGGTTTCAACACATTTTGACTTTGTGAGATGAGTATTCCTCACTATACTTGTTGGGTCGAAGGCACCAAGGTCGGCCCTTTTGGAATGAGTACCCTGATTAATGCATGATTGAGTATTATAGTGATATGTTAGATCTGTATCCTGGTAGATATGATAATGCTATGCTTATTGATCCGTATGATCTGTGCTTGTCTGTTGATTATCAGGGTTTTCCTTAAAATAATAATAACTGATACCAACCTATATTGCAATTCGGGTTTTCGGGTTTCAAGTCGGGTAGGACATTTTCAGGTATATTCAAAAATTACGTAAGTGTCATTAATTGGATTTTTATTACATTTAAGTTGGAAGGCAATTTTTTTATGATTAATTTGGGCATGTTGAAGTTGAACATAAGGTTTAAAGGTCATATAAAAATGATTTCGTATGCTTTATATTACCGTGAAGTTATAGGCACAAAATTTCCAGCAACAATCTACAATCATTTTGCAAGAAATTGTTCTATGTAAAATTTTATAGTTTAATTGGGTATATCCGAATTTTTTTAAACCCATCTAATACCTGACTTATTTAAATATCAGGTTATCTGATTATCCGAATTTCCAAATCCAATAGCTGATTTACCCGACCTAATCAATCTGAATTCAAAACGGATCGGATTGAATAATCGAGTAATAATTATTTTCAACACCCCTTCTACACGAACCGAATTACAAAAAATATAAATTAAAAAACCATCCACATAAATTACCATAAACTCCCAAACCACAAGGGCATTTTGTTCCCTTTACTCTTTTATTCTTGTGAAAAGTGAACTATTCTTTGTTACCTTTTGTACAAAACGCGAAACGCACAGATTCTTCAACCTCATATCACTCCTCTTCTTCCCAAATCGAAAGACCCTTTACTTTCTCAAAACCCTAGATACAACAAAAATGGGGAGCCGACAGGCCGAGAAGCTTATGAACCAGATCATGGAGCTCAAATTCACGGCCAAGAGCCTCCAACGTCAAGCAAGAAAATGCGAAAAAGATGAGAAATCCGAAAAACTCAAAGTCAAAAAGGCAATAGAAAAAGGTAACATGGACGGAGCTCGGATTTACGCCGAAAACGCCATCCGTAAACGCAACGAGCAGATGAATTACCTTCGTTTATCCTCCCGCTTGGATGCTGTCGTTGCCAGGCTTGATACTCAGGCGAAAATGACCACGATTAGTAAATCCATGTCGGGGATCGTCAAGTCCTTGGAGTCAACTCTAGCTACAGGGAACTTACAGAAGATGTCGGAAACGATGGATCAGTTCGAGAAACAGTTTGTGAATATGGAGGTGCAGGCTGAGTTTATGGAGAGTTCGATGGCTGGAAGTACTTCGCTTTCGACTCCGGAAGGGGAGGTTAATAGTTTGATGCACCAAGTGGCTGATGATTATGGGCTTGAGGTGTCGGTTGGATTGCCTCAGGCGGCTGGGCATGCTGTGCCGGTGAAGAATACAGAAAAGGTCGACGAGGATGATCTATCCCGGCGTCTTGCGGAGCTCAAAGCTCGTGGGTAATTATCTATCTTTCAACCATACATTCCGATGGATCTTCTGCGAGGTAATCATCCAGAATCATGATGTTATGTAAATTTGAGTATATTACTTAATTTCTTCAATATTATAAGTGTATGTTCTTTACAGTTTAGAACTTTTTAAATCCTTATGATCTTGTTGTCCATGTTCTTGAATTGGTACATCTGAAGTTGATGTATTTGAGTTTGACACTGAATTTGAATTTGGAACTCATATGATGGCTAGTTATCTTTCATGGTTGTCCATTGTCGAATTATGTACCAATGAAGTCATTTCATCTCTGTTTTCTGGCCTTCCATAATTCCATTAAGTTGTTTTACTGCTCAAAATTTTTTACAGTTACTATTCATGTCCCATGATGCTGGATAAGTATACTTATCTTCATGGATGGATTCATATACTGGAGGATTAGTTAGATGTATTCATGTCACTTATTACAAAAAACTACAAGTTGTCATCATCCACTGTATTGGAGTGCCATGATTCTTCATTCTCTAAAACTCATGGCTATCATCTTCTCTGGAGAATTGCAACACTTGTTAATTTGTTGTGATATATAATCAAGTAAGTAATGTATTAGGTTTTCTATTTAGTTTGTGTAATGTAATCAAAAGGAGGCTTACAACGAAGAAACAAAAAGAGACAGTGTTCAAAACAACTGCATCAAAATGAAACAAGTTTTTGAAGACCCGAAAGTAAAAGAGTTATTAAGTTAATAATTTACATTTATTTCCTTGGGAACAAGTTTTTGAAATTAAAGTAGAAGGTTGTAATAAACAGGGCTAAGGTGCAGTTGCCTTCCTACGCAATAGTGAAAGCCTGTAAATATTTTCAAAGTTTAGCGTTATAATTAAAGTAGAAGGTTGTAATAAATAACGAATGGAAGTAAGTAATGCGAGCAAAAGGCTACACATTACAATAGAGTTTTGTTCTGATTAAAAAAAAAGCACCAGTAATATAGTAATATGAGAATCTTCTGGTGGTTTACCAAAAAAACCATTGACCTTTGATCAATTGTTAATACATGCATTAACCTTCCATGTTACAATTTTGGAGTTCAGATGATTTTTTACAATATAAAGTAATCCCATTGCAATTTTGGCCCTTTTATTTGAATTAATATAAAATTTAAAATAATACTATAAAATAAAAATAAATAAAAGTTCAGTATATATTTCACTAAAAAAATATAAATTGACACTTCTGATGCAACTTAATACTTGCCTTTACAGTTTACATCATTAATTTTATTTTGCATTTACTAACCTTCAAATGAGTAGGTTCAGAGGGGAATTCATCGGCGATTTTGAAATCAAACCCCCCAAAAAACTAAACCAATATGTTATAGTTTGAGAACACCTGTAATGTGTTGAAACTCCAAGTCTTCTTCTAGTGCCGAACAATTTTTTTTTTCGAAATAAGTGTTCAAAAAACCCAGTAAGAAGAAAATCAATTCATACATAATGTTCCCAAATCATATCTTGTAAGTCAAACCGCAAGGCTGACGTAACGTGCAATAAAATAAACCTCATAAGTCAGAAGTAGAAAAACAATCATGAATCTATCATATAGTTTAACCTTCCTATTTCCATCATTCTGACCTTTGTTTCATCCCACTTCTCTCACAAAAGCCTATACTTTGCAAACTACATCAGTTTCAATCTAGATTCACCTACAAACCCCCTCGTATCACTAAAAATCATAAAAAGGAGTTCCAATAGTTATCCAAGAGAAGAGGGTGAGCATGAAAATCAAGAAAAATGAGAATCAAATGAATTGAAACCTTTCTCCCTTTCTCAGTTGCAACAGTTTGTTCCTATAAAGAAAATGCATCTTTTCTAGCGTTCCCCTACAATTCAAAGAACCACCCAATTGAAAAACAAATACCAGACAAATATATAGGGCGTGTTCTGCAAAACTAGCTGGTAGCGGATATCTTTTGATTTTAGAGCTTTTTGTTGAAAGCTACTCCATGTAGCTTTTGATTTTGGAGGTTTTTGTTTAGGCTAGAAGCTAAACGCTCCTGTCGCCGAACGAGACTTTTTCTTTTTAACTAACGTTTTCTTAAAAGCTAGAAGCTAGAAGCTCCCAAAAGCTGAAAGCTGCGTGCCGAACACGCCCATAAATCTAAAATATATAATAACAAAGAGCTTTAATTCACCATAAAAACTTACTGCCAACTCGTTTCTTACCCAGGAAAGTAAATGCAAGAGGCATGTAAATCTACCACATCCAGAAGTATGATTGTATGAATAATTAAAGTCTCTCTCACCTAGACTATTGTATACAACTTGCAAGCATTGCTGTATACAACTTGCAAGCAGGAATGATTGGTAATGGTTAATCAAATTCTTGTTCACCACCCATATAACCAAACTCTTCTTTGTCAATAAGAAAGACTCCCTTTTGAAATCGGATGATCAATGCATCTACTACCACTTACACATAATAACACCAACCCGGGATTTCATAATTCAAAAGAAAATAAAAAAAATAATAAATAGATGAAGAAAACAAAGCAATTCTTATTTAAATGCTACAACAAGAATTCGTGTTTCCTAACATATAGTGCAAACTCATAGGTAAAAACAAACCACTTCAAATTATTTGATAACCATACACAATTTGAATTATTTCATAAACTAAACGAACGCTAACAACAGAAAAAAAACCAATAAGGCTGTTATTTGAATAGATAAAAGAAACTTAAAAATCATAGATAAATGTTTAAATTTGAATTAACAAACAAACCATAGAAAAATCATGGAAAAGTGAAATAGAATCATATGAGAACAACAGGGAAGAATAGGAAGGTGGATACAGTCGACGACAAAAAAATTCTAGAAATAGAAAATGGGAAAACAGATTACCTTAATTTAAGCATCCATGGCATCGATTTTTCATTAGTCTCAATCTTCAGAATTGTGTCTTCAGTAGGCCCTGACCTTCCGTCCTTTTTAGCGTCAATTGTGAAGCAACAAAACCCTAGAGAGAAAAAGAGGAACTAAGGCATATTGAGTACTTAGTTTTTGAAACATTACAGGAAGAAGGAGGTGAGAATAAAGCAAAAGGCTTGAGAGGGAAACAACAACTAATCAATCCTAGAATTAGGGAAAGAAGAAAGACAAAATCCTAAAAAACAAAATTTACAACAAACGAATGAAATTATACTACTTTAAATAGAGAATAAACATGGAGTCGGCGTGAAGAAGAAGTTAGCGGGTGACTCGGCCACAATCAAGGGGAGGTGGCGGTGTGATCCAAGAGTGGCAAGTAACTTTGGGGAAAACGCCACCGCCAAGTAGGAAAACCCATCGCCAAGTTTTCAGCCTCATCCTGAGGTCAGGCTGACCGGAAGCAAGCAGACACGAGCGACCAAATGACGCCATTTTTAGAACCTAGTGTGTAGGGTTGAGAGCAGTTTAAGCAAGAAAGAAGGTAGCTAACCTTAGGATGACGGATGCATGATTAAGTAAGTAAGCAACAAGCTTACCAGGAAGCGTGATGAGTGGTCGGTGGGGAAACGTAGACATGCTAATCTTTCAAAAGAGGGTATTGTGTATAGGTGTATGATATATTAATAAAATAAAGGGTAAAAGTCTAAATATAACTATGCACAATTAAGCTTGCGAGTTTCACTAGGTGAGTATTTCAATACTCGAGTCTGGCTTGATAATGTACTTAGGTGGCTTGATAATGTACTTGAGTAACTCGAGTTCGACTTGACTTGAACTAAATCGATTCGAGTGTTTTTCGAATCGGTCTCGAGTATTTCATGAGTTGGCTCGACTCAGTTACATGTTACCAAAGTACACACTAAAGACTACAAAGTATTATGTGATTCACAGATAAAGTTGGTATCTACTTATTAAACCGGATAATACATGGTTATGAAAGTGAAATATGAATCCAGTTCTAGTAAATCACATTAATTATTTATTTATCAAACAATATTACTAAATGATTTTATTTGTTTATTTATTTTGTAGGTGTTGCCTACTACAAATACATCAAACACTACCATTTTGTCACTTCACCCAATCCTTAATATGTATCTTATTTCGACGAATTGAATATATTTGTCACTAGTTGTGAGACCTGGATACTATACGGGTTGATTAAAACAAAATGTTAAATACGAATGATTAAACGGAAAGTTTCTTTGAAAAAACATGCAAAAAAAATAAATAAATTAAAATTATGTGTTTAGTTGTCAGACCCGTGTAATAAAAGTGTTAATTATAACAAAATCTTAAATACGAAAGTTTAAATTATAAATTTATTTAAAATTGAAATTGAAGTTTGAAATTAATATTTGAAATTTGAAATTAATATTTGAAATTTGAAATTAATATAGTCATTATGGTATGTTTAATTTATGGAAACTAAATTAATGATATATTGAAAAATAAAAAATAAAGTAAATGACAAGTGAAAAATAAATATCTCAAAATTATGACAAAATGACATGTGGCATAATGAAAGAGAGGATGACATGTGACAAAATTATTTTCATTTATTAGGGAATATTTAAATAAGAGGATAATCCTTAATACTTAATATGTATCTTACATCGACCAATTGAATATATTTGTCATTTAAATAAGAAGATGAATGTTAGTTAGTCATGTATTCAATAATATTCTATGTTTGATTTAAGTAATTTTTGGAACTATATGTTTATCATATGAAATATTATTTGGTGTTCACAAACTTAACAATGTCCAGTTATTTATTTAAATATGTATCCTATATTCATCATGTAAATAAAAAGTTATAAAGTTAATGAATACGAAAAATTTAATGCTTTCACACCTATATATAATGAAATACAAAGACATCCTAAACCCCAAACCACAAATGTTTAATGGACTAAGTCACTCGATGGAGTAATTGATGGTGCTTCTTCATCTCAAATACATAAGTCATCGACCATGACTATTAGGGAGGAGAGAGTCGTTCCCTCCCAACCCACTGAACCAACCCACTGCCGCATCAGCGTTTCTCTTTGATTTTTCTTCATCTTTCCCAACCCACAACACACGGAAATCCTATCTTTTTCAACCCACTCAATTAAAAAAAAAATACTAAACAACTAAGGTATAAGTTTTAAAGCACATGGTGTTAGAAATATGGTTTAGTGGCACTTGGAAATCTGAGAATCGTGATAAAACACTTTCAAAATCGAAGTATTTGGGTGGTACTCCCAAATCCTCAATTGGATAAGACTCAGAGAAAATCAGAGAGAAAGAAAGAGAATGAGATGGTGTAATTTCGTGAGTACCAGAAAACTGGCTAAAAATTGGTTATAAACCTTCCTTGTCTGAAAAACTGTCAAAACTGTCATATAACAGTTTTTCTCAACAGTCAAAACTGTTATAAATCCGAGTTTTGTATAAGGATTAATGCTAAGTCAAAAACGGGTCAAATATTCAAAATTTGGATTTTCTGATGCATTTTTAATACAGCCAGGGGCTCTGCCCCTTGGACCCCGCCAGGGGCTGCCGCCCCTTGGACCCCGCTCCCAGGGGCGCTGCCCCCGGACCCCCGTTCGTTCAGGGGCTTCCCCCCTAAATGACAGTATACTTTGATACTTGATCAAACTTAAACAAGTGTGTACTCCACACCTTCCTTACTTGTTTAATATTTATCAAGATCATTTTTAGTCAACAAAGTAATCCCATTACACTTAAATAACATTGATGATAACAAATCACCAACACATGGTACAAGAGAAAATGAGAGAGAGAAAGTAGAGTGAGAGGATGAAGTGGGTTGGTGAAACCAATTAAACAACCTGCTAAAGAGAGAGTGGTACCGGCGGTAACTCTATTGCTAATTAAGATTTTACCTTGATTGTTTTGTATTTTTTTTAATTGAGTGGGTTGAAAAAGATAGGGTTTCCGTGTGTTGTGGGTTGGGAAAGATGAAGAAAATAAAAAAGAAAAGCTGATGTGGCAGTGAGTTCAGTGGGTTGGGAGGAAATGACTCCCTCCTCCCTTATGAATCGAAGTCATGACTCGTTTGACACGTAACCCCAACCCCTAAACGCTAATAGACTATGGCAAATCCAATGGAATTAGTGCCTTCATCCTCGAAGATACGTGAGGCCTAGAACCAGGATTATTAAAACGAGCACCATTGATACAACTTTTTCAAATTCCTTCGTGGTAAGCGGAGACTAAAATTCCTAAACAAAGACGTTGCTTTGATGCATAATTTTAAGTCCGAAATCTGAAAAATAAAAGACATCAATATATTCAATTTGGGGTCAACATCATTTTAACCAATATAACATTTTATTGTGTAAAATTAAATGTGAAAAATATCATAAAACAAGGTGGCCGGAACTTTGAATCTTATGTACATGTTCGGAATACGTTTTCTGGAGTCCATAGTTCCCGTTTTCATGATAAATCTAATCATATCAAAAACAAACTTACAAAAACATAATTAAATCTCGATAAAACGTCATAAAAAGGTGTAGTTTGTCTAGAAAAATATTCGCTAAGATATAGTTTTTTTTAAAGATTTTTTTGGTGAAAGACAGAAAGAGTTGAATTTTATATACCTAGTTACTTCCAAAATATCTCATTTCGAAGTAAAATATCATTTCGGTAAAAATTAACTTAATCGTTTTCAATAATATATAAAAAACATTTGGTTTTTTTAATGAATATCCTTCGATAAGTTTTGCTGTAATTAAAATTAAAAGAAGATAATATATAACATCTAACCTCTTTTTTTTTTATATATTTGTTTTTTCTTTGACTTATTTGTTTAGTGGGCTAGCTAGCACACGTATTTCCTCAAATGTCACTAACATGGTGATACGTGTTTGACCATCTTACGATTAAATGTTGAAAAACGAACTAACAAGAACCATTTATCTACTTAGGCAACTTAGCCCGTTACTCAATGTGCCGCTAGTGGTGTATAATAGGGTCCCCAGCTGTATCAACTACCACTACAATCGCCTCAAGTTTCAGTACTTCATCCATATCACACCAAAAAGATAATCATGGATTTACTTCTATCATTCATAATCTTTACAGCAAGTATATCTTGTTTCCTGCTTTTTGGTCATCTGGCGTGGATAAGAAGTCGAGCTAATTACACGAGCAGCAAAGGATTAGGAAAGACAGTACCTGAAGCACCAGGTTCATGGCCGATAATTGGTCACCTGTATCTTTTATCTGGTTCTCAAGTTCCTCACAAAACTCTTAGGCTCTATGGCCCACAAGTTTGGGCCAATATTCACCATCAAACTTGGGATTAATCGAGTCCTAGTTGTGAGCAATGCAGAGATGGCTAAAGAGTGCTTAACCACAAACGATAGAGTCTTTGCAACCAGACCAAAGTCCATGGCAACTGAGCTGATGGGCTACAACTATGCTAATTTCGCTCTTTCACCATATGTATCATACTGGCGTGAGATACGGAAGATAGTTGTTCTTGAACTTGCCTCTCATCATCGCCTTCAAATGCTTTCAAGTATCCGAGCCTCCGAATTGAAGTCATCCATTACAGACTTGTATAAAGATTGGAAGACAAATAAAGGGTCATCTGAAACGATAAAGGTTGATATGAAACAGTGGTTCAGGAACTTGATTCTAAACATGACTGTGAGGGTGATCTTTGGGAACCGATTTTCAGCTGGAGAAGAAAAGGAAGTTGAATTTAAGAATTCCATTAGATGGTTTTCAGAACTATTGGGCGCGTTTGTACCTTCTGATGCCATTCCATGGTTGAGGTGGATGGATATAGGAGGGTATGAGAAGAAGATGAAGAAGACAGCTAAAGAATTGGATGTTGTAATTGAAGGATGGTTAGAAGAGCATAGAAAGAAGATGAATTCAACACAACATGTAGATGAGAGGGAAGAAGAACAGGCCTTCATGTCCGCTTTGTTGTCTCGTGTTAAAGAACTTAAAAAGGATATTTCTGGCTTCAGCACTGATGCGATTGTGAAAGCTACATGCTTGGTATTATTTTTGTAATGCTTAAGTTACGTATCAATAGAACAGTTGTGAGTTTTTATTGCTTTTATCAGGCACTTTTAGCTGCAGCCAGCGATACCACAACAGCGACTCTAACATGGGGTTTAGCTTTACTGGTCAACAACCCTGTTGTGTTAAAGAAAGCCCAAGAAGAGATCGAGAAGCATGTAGGAGCAGATAGAATGGTTGAAGAGTCGGATTTGAAGAACTTGGTCTATCTTCAAGCCATTATCAAAGAAACAATGCGACTTTACCCAGCTGGGCCACTTTCTGTTCCTCATGAGTCTACAGAAGACTGCATCGTAGGTGGTTACACTGTTCCTAAAGGGACTCGACTTTTGGTAAATATTTGGAAGATTCAACATGATCCTGAAATATGGGAAGATCCATTTGAATTCATACCCGAGAGATTCTTGACAAGCAAAAAGGATATCGATATCAAGGGTCAACATTTTGAGTTGATTCCATTTGGTAGTGGTAGAAGAATGTGCTTGGGAATCTCGTTCGCTCTAAATGCTTTGCAATTGATATTGGCCAATATCATACATGGATTTGAGTTCAAAAATCCATCATCTGAAGCGGTTGACATGACTGAAAGCCCTGGATTGACAAATCTCAAAGCCACTCCACTTGAGCTCTTAATTGCCCCACGGATATTGCCGGATTTTAACTTAGTGCCACCTTAGGCTCCACCACTCCACTGAACTCTTTGTTGTACAGTGTTTTGAGTTGGATGCCTGTCATGTTATGTAGCGTTTATCCCTATTGTTTTTATACAACCAACCATATTTATATTGAGGTATGTACAATAAAAAGAATTGCATTTAGCATCAATAGATAAGGTGATTGTTCATGGTTCTTGAAATAAGAAAAAAGGCTTCTATTAACACTGAAAATCATACATTTGGAGATTATTTGAAATTAAACTCACTTGAGAATGTTCCAAGAACAAAAATTTGAGCAAATCGCTCCAATACCTCAAACGACTTTACTAGAAACAACGAAAAAGAATGGTCATGGGCATTCAAAGAGAGTGCTATTTTTTAATTCAGTTGCCACAAGAAAACTTGAAAAATGTAAAAGAAAAATACCAAAGGGCCGGGTAGAAGTTATTGGCGAGTTCCCATGGGAATCCAGTGTATGAATCTTGAAACGATGGATCACCAGGCAGTTGGATATGTAGAGATCACCCTCTGATTTTCTCATGTACTTGTTTTGAAGCTGTTAACCAACAATAAAAAACATTAGTGAATTAAATCTCACACACACACACACACACACACACACACACACACACACATATATATATATATATATATATATATATATTATATATATATATATATATATATATATATGGGGGGTGTGGGTTCTTTAGGTGGCTCGATGAAGAGGACTGCACGGCTTCAAGGTCCCAACTCACGGCCTCAACGTCCCAACTGCACCTGCATGAGAACATGAGAACAGAGACACATTCACAGTTCTAGTTTGTTTGATTACAGGACTTCTAATGGCAAAATTTGTGTGTCGTATTGTACGTAGTTATCATTAATATGTAGTTGATAGGTTGGTATTATGTCTGTAATACTCTTCAGATGGTATGGATGTGTTGAAACCCCATTTTGTGATAATGAAGTTGGTTTTACTGACTTATATGCACTTGTATTTGATGGTAAATTAAACAAAATATGCTGTTAATATGAGAAATTTAACAGCAAAGTATGATTAAAATGAGTCGGTTTGTGCTCTTATATGAACTTGTATAGCCTGTGTATATGGTGCTAGTTCAGCAACAAATTATATGCACCTATATAGCATAGCTTGTGTATATGGTACCAATTCAACAACAAATAAAAAAATTTGTATGCACCAAAATGTAAACAAACTTGATTTAAATTAGAAAGGGGTGGAATTACAAACATGTGCCAAAAAAAAAGCACAAACATATATGCTAATGTATGTGGGTGGATTTACAAAATATACCAAAAATATTTATAACAAAAAGAGCTTTGTATGCCCGTCTATACCTTCGCCACCACACCCCCACCAACCTAACTACTTATTCCAATGTAACATGATTTCTAGCTGATGCTCAACTGGTGCAGTGATGTTTTCCAATTCTAACTCTGGGATATTTCTTAGCTCCTCCATTGTGTACCCTGCTTTTAGATACGAAGCTATGTCATTAGCAGTCAGGTAAGTCTTCTCTACCACATCATCATCATCATCCTCATTGCCCTCATTGAACACAGCATTATTCTCCACAACTTCTTCTTCAAGCTGATCACCTAGTATACCATTTATCCCCATCTCAACATCATCAAGTACTGCGTGAAGACCAACACCTACACTCATGATATGTGCATATTTAGCTATATATTTCGTATAAAATTTTAATACTTTTTGGCTAATTTATTGCAATTTATGGATAAAAGGTACTTAATTATGTTTAAATTGTATTTTCAGCCTAAAAGATGTGCTCGGAAGCAAAAGGAAGCGGGAAATGCAATCGGGAGCTCGGGGATTAAAGACAAAAGAAAAAGAGTTAAAATCCTGAAGAACTCGGCGAGTTGGATGCCTACTCGACGAGTCTACACGAACATTCGCGAAGCAAATAGAAGTCCTTGCCGTACACGGGTTTTTAATGAGGGAACTCGACGAGTCGGTTATTGGACTCGGCGAGTCGCCTCTGTTTTCAGAAATCTATAAATAGGAGTCAATTGCCTGAAACCAAACCCTTCTCTGGAACCTTTGGGGATTAAATTGCGACTGGAGGTGCGACTGGAAGCTGTGGAACTCGTGGAACAACCCTAGCTTTCAATTTTGAGAAGATCAAAGGCAATTTTAGTTTACTCTTTACTTAATCTTTTGTTTGAACTATGTGTGAACTATTAGATTTCGTTTTTGAGTTACTTTCTGCTGTAATCATTAGCTAAAACTCATATCTTCTGTTTAGGATAGATGAATTTATGACTATGTGTTGATTTTTGTGGTTGGATTAATTAAAATTGGTGAGTTTTGTTTTGTTAAGCTTGTTAAAGAACCTTATGTATTAACAACAACTATTTTCTGTTAATTAACAAGTATATTAAGCTGCATGAACATCTCTTAATTGCTTATCTCATATGATTTATGTGAAAACATTGTTATGTGCCTAGGAATAGCGAATGTGAAACTAGGGTTAACTAGAAAATCGGTAAGTTAATGTGTGAGCTTATGTGACGAACCATCAACAAGAGGTTAATTGAATTAGTAATTTGATTAGCTAATTACAAGTCTTACTTAACCCGAATCAATAAACTAGGAAATTTATTAGTTTAATCATTTGATCACTGCTTAAATTGATTTGTTTTCTAAGGATTAGTAATAGCGAACGTGAACCTAATCACATTAATCGTTAGCCAATAAAAATTAATCCATTGCACTTGCCATAAAATCAACCATAGGAGTAAATAAATCGAACCTAAACAAAAGTCTTCTCCATTATTGAATTTAGTTGATTGTTTAATTGCTTTAGCTGTTAGTTGCTTAGTTTGAGTCTTATTTAATTGTTTAAGTTTCCAGTCTTGTAAAACTAGAGAAAACCTTTCCTTTTATTAATTGTTTTTAGATAATTTAGTATTTAGTTTATTTACCGTTCCATGTGTCCCGATACCCTGCTTGCTTAAACTAAACTGCTATCGATAGGTACACTACCTGCGTGTGTTTGTTTTTATTTGAGTTTGTTAGGATTAAAACTAGTTCGTTTAACACACATCAACTCACACCTCCTCTACTCACACCTTCATCAATAGTGACATTCACTTCTTTTTCATTACCTTCCTCCATATTCACATTCACACCTTCTTCATTACATTCATCCAAATTCACATAATTACCTTCAATGACACCCCTTCTTCTTAAGTCACTTATACCACCTCTTCTAATGCTCATTTTCCTCCTACCAGTAGACCCTGACTGGGAACAGATGGATGTTTGTCCCTCTTTGTTTTTCTCCTCAAAGGAGGCATAGATTCTTCTTCAACCTGATCAGTATGATCTTGATTAGGAACAACATCATGATTAGGGACAGTTGGAGCAGATGGCCCTGATTCATGATTAGGATCAATTGGAGAAAATGGCCCTGGTGCCTGATTAGGATGTTGGTACTGAGGATGTTGTTGACCTTTTCTTGGTCTTCCTTTCTTTTTAGGTTGGTTGTGAACTACTGGCACCAGATCATTTTGGCAACCTTTTTTGTTGTGTCCATACTGCAAAAATCTCCCACATCTAACCGTCCTTGCAACACTCACTTTCTTGGATGAGAATTTGCTATCTTTTTTAATTGCACTCCTCCTTCTTTTGGTTTTCGGCCTACCAGGCATTCTCCAAGTCATGGGAGGCAGAGGCTGAATGTAAGGTGTTTTTTCCTAGAGACTGCTCCCATTGGCTGCTTGTATGTTGGTTGAGTAAGCCTGGATGAACTTTTCTTTGGTGAAATTGCATCTGTCCATTTAGCACTTTCCTCATTCATGTATGTGATGGGTTTTAGTATACTACAACATCCTATGATGCACATACAACCCTAAATGCTTTGGATCTATGTTTTCTCTATTTATACATGTAATGTTGTTTCCAAAGCATTAAGCCTACAACTAGCATACAATATGATATAATCAACATATAAGGAAGTTATAGAGTTACCTCTTGGTTGTAGCTTGTAGTTTTCTTGAGTTTGGCCTTTAACAACTTAGTTCCCCAAGTGTTGCACCTTAAATGGAATCACACAACACCACCAACAATGGAGGACATTAACAGAGAATACTTGCACTCATAAAATCGGCTATTGCTCTTCCAAGAACACTAGGGTGCCAATTTTAGGAGCTAATGGGTTTTCTTATATAGTGTGACAAAACTAGGGTTACACCATGTAAACCCTAATGTGCATGACCTTCCATATTCCTTAGGCTCCATGGGTCTAAACCTCCATGGATCATCCATGGGTTGTCACATGGGTTTAGCCCAACCTAAGGAATCATGGATCATTGGCCCACACCATAAGAATGAATGATTTTACCAAATCAACCCCTTATATTTAATTAGTCTCTTTTGATCACAAAATTAATTCCAAATTAATTCTTGATCAATACTAATTAAATAATGTGATTTCATATTGATATATTAGAACTTATAATATATTAATAAATCATGAATATCCTCTTCTCAAAAGTCCATCCTTACAAATTGTTCCGGTGCCATGCAACCCAAATGGACCATGCTACTCTCGGGTCAAGTACATACCAATTATAGTTATGGGCTTAGACACTAAATCCAGCAGTCTCCCACTTGGATAAGTCTAATAACTATTATTGCAAGTATGACTCCAAAATCCCGACTAGCAATCGTAGCTCTTAAAAGCCGTTGTGGAACTCTGACCTAGTCAATGACGCGTCCATTAGATAAGGGATCATATATTCCTCCATTCTAGATATCATATGGACTGAGACATGGATTTTAATCATTCTATCTGTCCATCTGTTGTTTCTCGATTTCTGATTTATGACGACTGACTAATTGAACAAATCAAATCAGTCCAGGCTTGGCTAAGCACTTCGGGTGTCATCACTAAATCATCGATGAGCCCACAAATATCGCTTTTATCCACATGGGGTAAAAGGAACGGATAAACTTCGACTCAAATGCTTGCTTGTACTTACTCATCAAATTACACACAACGATATGTTTTATAACACCAAGTTACTGGTGCGATTACATATGTCAATGTGCAACCGACTTGCAACTACAACTCACACGTCTTGGT